AAGTTATTAGTGAATGTTCTTCTTTCGGTAAAACATGTGAATTACTATTCGGGACGGATCCAGAAATTAAGAGTAGATTGGGCTAGAATTTAAAAAACTCATTTTCATAAAAATTAAATAATATTTTTCTTCAAATATTTACTGAAGTTATGCGCGAAGAGCTTTTACAAAAAAATTCATTACGCTCATTTTGCACCGTATTTGATGTGTTTCCATTAATTTGACGTCGATCAAGTTTTTTAAAAAACGATGATGTCAATGGATTTTTCCTTTCTTGGCCGAAAGTTGGTGTTCCATGTGCATTTCTAAAAACTAGTACAGAGCTCGTGCGATGCACGGGGTGCACAATTTTAAGTCTATTTATCCAGGCTTATAATTATATACATGAAAAAAGAAAAATGTACGGGATATATATAGTACGTGACTCGTGCAAAGCACGAGATATATTACTTGGAGAATATTATGTTATAAGATGCAATATTCAATAAAAATTTATAATACGCAAGAAAATTGTACAATGTTCAATAAAAGTTTTATAATATTCAAGTGGAGTCTTAAAATCTCTTGTACATTAAGACTACTGACAAAATAATATTTTAATCAATGAGTTTCTTTTCCTTGTAGCCAAATTGTGAATGTGATTTGAGGAGTACAACAATCGATATATAGCTGACTTGCTTTTTCCATTGTAGTTTTTTTTCTTTTTTTTTATAATGAATTTAAAGATATTCTAAAATATAGCAAAAATTAATTTTTTTTATTACAATTAGGAATTTTACTAAATATAAACTCTCAATCTATGGTGTTAATCAACGTTTAAGTCTAAAAAATTAGTAATTTTTACCTCTTTTAATCAACGTTTAAGTCTAAAAAATAATAGAGTTATTATAAGTTTTTTTTCTACATCTTTTAAAACATTAAATATGAGCATGTTAGGGCTAGCTTGTAAAATAATTAATATATTATCTCACTAAAATATTTATACTAATAAAAATTTAATTTTAGCATATAAGATATAAGAGAAGGTAACAATTTTACTTATTGTTGTTGACCATATAATATTTAATTATTATTTTATTATATAATAAAAAAGAAATATTGTTAAATAGTGCAGTAGAATTGTTATAAAATTATATGATTTTTTTTTAAAATATGGATTTAATATTTTTTTTATGATTTGATAATATAACCAAATCTATACTTAACTTTGACAAATAAAACAAATAAATACTTTAGTAAGTATTTAATGTATATACTAAATAGGAATATATTTGGTATAATCAAATACCAAATATAATCAAATAAGTCAAAATATACATTTTTATTTTGTATTTGATTTTTTTATTATTAAAATCTTTTTATTATACTTACCTTTTTAAAATAAAACAAATAAATAAATCAATTAAATAAATAAAATATTATAATACCAAAATAGTAATAGCATTTAATGCAGTTGACTTTTCTGGAATCTGGATAGTAAATGTAGTAAATAGAATCTCGTTTTATATAAGTATAGATTGTATAATACGGAAATAGTAATGCAATAAATGTTGTTGACTTTTCTTTATACTAAATCTAGTAAATGGTATATCTTTTAATATAAGTATAGATTTCACACTACAAATAAATAGATTTTTCATATGGCATAGTCATTACCAAAATAAAATACCTACACATCATAAATTTATATCCAATTATGATATACAACAACCACACTAGAGGATAAGAAAAAGAAACACACACACACACACATACACACAATTACTACTTCATACACAATCACTAAATTCACTGTTTTGGTGTTCAGAGGAGGAGCATGGCCGTGGCTAATTTATTTGAATGGAGTTTGGTGTATAGTGGTGTTTTATGGGTTAGTGCCTAATGAAAATGGTGAATCAACAATATATAATAATTTATTAGAATAGTGTTTGTAGTATTTGGACTTAATAAATAAGTGAATTATTTTGATGGTTTAATAAGTTGGTTTAGTGGGTTGGGTTAGAAATACAATATTTTTTTTTTTCCAAACTAATAGTTATTAAAAAAAAAATAACAGGCCTGGGCTTCAGCCCAGCCCAGGCCTAATAAAGATCCATCCTTGATTTGAACCTTCTGTGTCATCCAAAGAATGAGTTCGAGGCATTTCATGTTTAAAATTTAATTTAACTTTAACTCAACACAATTGTCTTCAATATTATCTATATAAATAAATAATATCAAAAATCATAATTATGCACTATTCATCCACTCTCATAGTTTTAACTGATTAAATAATATCAAATCAGTTTTAATTATTTAATTTTCAATGTTAATTTAATAGAAATTCATAGTTCCACTTAACAACTAGCAATATCAAATTTTATCAAATTGAGTTTGATTAACAAAAAAAAACTGATCTTAAACAAGTATATTTGTATCAAGCTCGCCCTTAAATAGTTTGTTTAATTGATTTGATCCGTTTGTAAATTATAATGTTGTAAGCATGTTAAATGCATAAGTACTACACTTCTGCAGAGTCCGAATATAATGTGGATCATATTATTTTAAAATATATATACCATTACGTGCAATTGATCAAAATACAACTTAAATTATGAAATGACACACATTAAAGCATATATATACCATAATAGTTTGTAATTTATTGATTAATTAATACTAGTAGAATAACACGTGTATATATAATGTATGACTGAATGTTTAGAAATGACAAATTATAAAATAAATTAAATTTTTTATTTGAAATGTAAGTTAAGTATAATTTTTAAATTTTGTCAATTTAAAACACGGCTTTCATTTTTTTGCAACTGAGAATAATTGTTTATCTTATATTACTTTCATTAAGAATAATTCCAACTTATCTATCGCATTATACAACGAATAGAAATTCGACGATCACTTATGAAACGACACGGGTTTATCTAGACTGAAGTATTGATGAATCTATTTCGCTTATCAACAAATGTAAAAATGTAGTTCGAAGCGACATATATAAGATCTAGTGATTTATTTCAAAATTTGGGACTGTAATCTATATATATATAATTGCTAGCTAAGCAATAAATTTTACCTAATAAATAAAACTTAATAAATTTTACCTATGTGGCAAATCATTAATAAAATCTAATAAATAGAACCTAATAAATTTTATTTATGTGGCATTAATACACCCAATCTCATTAATAAGAAAATATTTCATTACATTTTTTTTGAGTTAATTAAAACAAAAATCATTATATTTTATGTTAATTGATTAATAATTATATTTTTTATTGAATAATATAATAGTTAATATTAAAATTAGTAATTATATTTTATATTAAATAATATATGAAAGTTACACAAAATTATATTTTATACTAAAATCAATATTTTTTTATATGATGAAGCGGTTGTTTATTAATAAATTAATTTTTTTTATGTCATAGTAAAATTTTGTAAAATCACATAAGCAATTGTTATAATAAATATAATATTTTTCAGCTAACTAATTGATCATGATCACTCAAAATTATAAAAAGTATAAATTTATTATATTTTTGCAATCAATATAGTGATTCGTATACAATCAAATTGTGTGTACTATTTATTTTAACCAATGATCAAATTTTAAAATATAATACTATTATATAATTTATAA